CAATGCCTTCTACGTCTTGCAGTAACTGGGAAAAAGGGACAGTGTTCCTTTATTTGCTCTCCCTGCCTCTCTGTATCCCTCCTCCCTCCCATCACTTGGGTGTTGCCTAGATGACTATAAAGTGTTGAATAAACTTTCAGTCAGCCCACGTCTAACTCCACTTAAGCTCTGCCACAGTTTCTGCATCCTCGTGATCCGGTAAGGCTATTAAAACTTATTTAAAAAGTTAGAAAGTTGTTTGTTTGTTTTTTCCTTTTTCCATTGAATGTTACGTTGGGTGGGCTGCGGTGCTGTTGGTGCATTACGAAGGGTTTTCCTCCTTTGCTATGCCAGGACTGGGTGTCTCCAAAAACGTTAGGCCTATTTCTCTCTAGTCTATCTTTACTGTGTGTCTGTGGGCCTAGTTTTTTCTTTTTCTGAAACTGAACCACTAAGTGTTAAAGTTTATAAAGAGAGGGGAGGTAGAACCCATATACGGATTTTGGGTTTGGGGCCAGAAGGTGATTTGTGCCAGAAGAATTTGCTTTGAGTGCCAGTAAAAACCAACACCCACATCCTCTTCAAACAATGTGCTGTAACCTAATGCTTGGCTGCATTTTTCACTCATTTTTCTCCAGTGTGAATGTAACAAGCCAACAGTAAAAGTAAAAAAAAACAAACCCTGTTATATTTATGTCCATTCCTGCCTTTTGTCCTTTCAGCACTCATTTCTGCAACCATGACTGACTTGGAGAAATCCATGGATTCCATGATAACCGTGTTCAACAAGTATGCCCATGATGGCAAACACGGAAAGGCCTTAACCAAGAAAGAACTAAGAAAACTAATTGAGGCTGAGCTTCCCAACTTTCTGAAAGTGAGGATCTTTCTTGCTATCATACCTGATCTCTATCCTCAGTGTGAATCATTGTCCATATTTAAGTTAAAAATGTTATTGCTCATGCGCTTTGCACCCTGAACTCGTCTCTTGTTACATCTGTTTCAGACCCAGAAGAATGCCAACTCCGTGGACCATATCATGAAGGATCTGGACCAGAACAAAGATGATGTCTTGGACTTTGAAGAATTTATGCCATTCATCGCCGGCCTCACAATGGCCTGTGAAAAATATTGCTCCATGTCTGCTAAAAAGAAGTGAAAGAACTGATGTGCAAATACACTGTAAGAGAAAATAATGCTTGTCTTTTTTTTCTTTCCTTTTTTGTAACAGATAAAGTTGATTGTGTTGCACAACTGTGTGCC